ACGCCTCATGTTTTCCCTCAGTGGCCAAGACTACTGGAGGCAGGCGAGAGCAGACCAGGGGAGTCCACTGCCATGTGGCCAAGGATATGTTTGGCCACTTGGGCCTTTAAACGATGTTTGCAGTGCATAGTTGCAGGAATTGTCAGGCTGTGGAGGCAGAGCACTCGTGGCTCTCGGGAGCCACTCAGCTACGTGCAGAAAAGGCCGCCATCTTCCTCCCCTGAGCCGGTTCTCCTCGTGAGCTGCAGCCAGCCTCCATCCTGCTTCCTGGTAGCTGAAGACAGCAGAGCTCAGAAGCTTACACCAACTGAAATTAGCCAAGTCTTCCAAATACTGTTTTTATGTGCCTGCGGTTAATCCTGTTGCGGTCGGGGTGTACCTTCTGCGTCTATTTTGTCATTTATTTATTTGTTTAAAACATGTGTATCCCGCCCAATTGTGCCACAGCACGTCCCACCTGGAAACTCACTTGTTCCTTCGATGGTTGTGTTTTTGTTTTCATTCCACATGGCAACTCCCAAATAACGGCTCCCTGTTTGGAAGCGTCCCTCAACTTTGGCTCCTCTTACTTCCCTCTCCAGATCCCAGCTGACCTTCACGGTGCTTATTGTTCTCCTGTCTCCTAGGTGGGGCTCAGCAGCTTCCTTCTGGTCCTTAACTTCCCCCTTGGGAGACACCCGAGCATCACTCACCTTGTGATGTCCCGCCCCACTCTGAACAGCACTGGCACCTACCTGCCTGTGAGGGTGAGGTAAGTCCATCGTACCGCAGCACGGCCGCTTCAGGGCCTCGCCCTTTCCAGTGATCGAATAGCCTGGGCGCTATAAAACGAGAGCGGAAAACCTCACCGTGGACCTGCAGTTACCCCCACAGGGCAGCTGCAGTGCTGTTCAGGAGTGGAAGGCTTGCTAGGCAGTGCATGCAGGGCCCCCCTCTTTCCTTGGGAACGGCTCGAATAGCGGGCGGCACCTGCCAGTCCAGCCATGGGCAGCCGTTTCCTCTGCTCTGGCAGGGGCGAGCAGTCATTTCTGTTGGGCTTCCTCACCTCAGAGGCGATGCTAGAGGTGAGCACTTTAGCTGTCCCAATAAAACCTGCCGCTGATGTAGCTGCTAATGCGGAAGTGCCGGAACAGCTGCTTTACCTTGCTCTTGCATGCCTGTTTTTCTCTGCTTCGAATTGGCACGGAACACAGGCAGCTTATGGCAAGTACAAAAGATGAATCAATTAATAACCAAATTTCCCACAAGGTCAGTGCTCCTTTGCTTTGCTAAAATTTATTTGCGGTGCTTCTTTCTGTATTTTCTGTGTTCATAGTTTTGTTTTTCGTTTTAGCTAGAGTTTTGCAAACTCCAGTGATGCCCCTTCTCAAAATTTCACTTTGAAGGTCGGTGTTTTTGCTTTTAGTTGTCTACCATCTCCCTCCCTTCTCCCTCCATTCTCTGTTCAAATGGAGAGGATATAAAGAGAGTTCAGAGGCTGCAGGGCTTAAGCGCAAGTGGTCTGAAGGTATGACAATCGCAGATTTGTGTTCTTGTCTTCTCTTTGTGTAGAACGCATTTTGTTGTAGATAGCCTCCCCCGGCATAGTGTTCTAGATAACCACACGCTTCCCTCTCTGCAGGATGCTGATGTTCCCTCCTTGAAAGTAGAAAAGGAGGAAGGAAAGGGTTGTGAATCTTGCAAGATCATCAGTGCTTTGTTGTAGAGAAAATTATAGGCTGGCAGTGCCCTAACCATGTGTACTAACAATTCATTAGGGGCCTAAAACATGTTACGCATTATTTGCTTCAAAGAAAAATGTGTCCCTTCTCCAGAGAGTACACTGCTGCTTTCGGAAACTTAAGCATTCCGAAATCCTACCCAGGGAAAAGGGCGCGTGACAGTTGCCCATGGGTCAAGTCTCAAAATTTCTGCCTCAGCCTAACTCATTTCACAGAATTATTGTGTTGGTTGGTGGAATAATTACATTCACGGACAACAAGGAGTCTTGTGGCCTTTTTACTCTGGCTCTTCTGTTTACAGCTGATGAAGTCTGCAAAAGCTTACTCCGGAATAAAGCTGCTGGACTTCAAAGTGCCACAAGACACTCTGTTACTTTGCTGCCATCAATTAACACAGCTGCCCCCCTGGAAATTGTATGCATAGTGTTACCAAAAGTTAATTACTTAAACAATGCCCGCCCTGCCTTTCTGCCAGTAAGCCATTTTGGTGAACTGTTAACCAGAAAAAAAATCACTATGCTATTATTATTATTATTATTATTATATTGCTATACCACTCAATATCAGAAGTTTTCTGAGTGGTTTACAAACGTTACGACTTCGAGCGAGCGAGTGAGCAGTGCTGACTGCTGAGAACTCCATGGGGAGGGGAAGGGGTTTCTTTCCTTGCCACTAGACAGCGTAGAAGTTAGTTCCTTGCTATTTTTTGCTTCTTTGCATTCTTGCCTATGTTGCCAGAACTGAAAACTGTGCTTTGATTTGCCCTGTGAAATAAAGTTGAAGGAAGGAATGGAAAAGTTAAAAACTGTGTTAGACACAGTTATGGGTAACTTCTAGTTCAGGGCTTTATAAAGTACAGTGATGCCCTTGTAGTTTGAACTTAGTTTGTTTCAGGAGGGCGTTTGAACTCTGAATTGTTTGAAGTTGGAATCAAAAAATGGAAAGGGAATTAATCTGTTCCCAGACCCTAAACAATACCCATTTCGACAAGCTTAAATAGCAGATACAGCCTGAAATGAATTACAGTCAAAGTAGCAATGTTACGCTAGTGCATTTACTGTGCCTTAGTGAGGAGTGATTATATATGAGGTGTGATCAAAAAATACGGTGATTGTTTAAATTTTAAAAAGTACAGTTAAAGTCACATTGCCATTATTCTCCTTCAAAATACCCCCGCTCACTTCAAACCCACCTACCCCGTTCTTTCTGAAGCAGTTCTGGAAGTCCTCTTGCATGCATGTCTTTAGCTGTGCTGCCATGGCTGCTTCAGCGTCCTGGATCGCTTGACAACATTTGCCTTTCGTGGCCATTTTGGCTTCGGGGATGGGCCAGAAGTCGCACGGTGCCAGATCGGATGACTAAGGTGGATGAAGACACACTGTAATGTTGTTATTTGTCAGAAATTGCCATACCAGAAGCAATGTGCATTTTGAATTGATTCCGGACATCGAGGCAGCACTACTAAAGATACAAAAGAGATATGTCAAATGGATGTTGGAAATGTAAACATAAACCTGGTACTTTTTATCATATGTGGTGGACTTGTGATAAGGCAATAAAATACTGGGTTAAAATACATAAATGGCTTGAGGAAATGTTACAAAAACCTTTAGCATTTAAACCTGAAGTTTTTCCGTTAGGCATTACTTCTGATGATGTCGATAAACAAGCAGCATATTTGATTCTACACGTAATTACTGCGGCAAGGATTGTATTTGCCCAACACTGGAGGAGTGAAGAACCTCCTGCTGATGAACTGATTTTAAAAAAGATCTTGGATTGCACAGAAATGGACATTGCACAGAAATGTCTCTGAAGGAGAAAAAGGATACATATTTCTATCAAACTTGGAACTCTTTTTACTATTGGCTAGAGAAATGGAACTGTGTGTAGTTTTGAATATGACTATGGATTGTTATTAAAAAAAAATGGGGAGCTGACCCAGTATGTCCGATGTCTTTGATGATTGACGTTTTAGTTTTTAGTTTGTAGAAAATAATAATAATAATAATAATAATAATAATAATAATAAAACTTAAAGACACAAAGAGGACTTCCAGAACTGCTTCAGAAGGTGGCAAGAACAATGGGATAAGTGTGTGTGAAGCAAGGGGGAGTATTTTTGAGGTGGATTAATGCCAATGTGTCTTTTACTGTGATCATTTTTTTAATTTAAACCTTCACCATATTTTTTTGATCACACCTTTGTACATAACCAAAAAAAAAAAAAAAAAAAGGTGAAAAAAGCACCGAAAATGCAAGATACGACTTGGGCGCACAACAGCCGACATTTTTGCTGCAACCACATTTTTTTCGCTTCGCTTGCAGTTCAAATGTAGACGCATCGTTCAAACTGTGGAGCAATTTTATCTCGACTCGAACGTTCCAACTCTGGCTCGTTTGACGTTAGAGTCGTTCAGACTGCAAGGCGCCTCCGCACGGCCTAATTGTCGAGCGCCTAACACCGTGTACCTGGGACTTGCTAACGATGCCTGCCTTTCAGGGCTTTTGCTCCAGAACGGCTCCACGTGAATCTGACCTGCAGTACATTGGAGTCTCCTTCTGTCGCTCTGTTCTGCCACGAGGAGACTGCACTGGCGCATAAATATCTCAGACTTCTAGATGAACAGCACCAGATATTTAGGAACGCAGGCAGCCCCTGCGTGCGATTTCTTCAGTCCTGCGCGAGGAAGTCTCCAAGCACTTCATTGGGGAACAGGAGAAGAAAAGATAGCGAGCCAGCCCCTTGTCTGTTCTAAGCTAGCAGGTTCATGCTACAGATGTTAAGCAACAGATACCTTCACCCAACAGCATCATTGTGTCTTGAGTTACGTCCAGGCTGTGTGCGCTCTACCAGCTGCCCCTGCACCCCTGAGCACACGAAAATTACAGAGCAAAGATGTGCCGGGTGTGAAATAGTAATGCATTATGGCAGTCCAGGCGAGCTTGTCTTTTAATGCCAGCCTGCAGAGTGTGTGCAGTCAGGCAGAAGGAGAGGGGCTAAGACTCTTGACTGCCAGGCGAGTTTTTCTGGGGGTCTTGCTTTTTGAGCTTTCAGCACAAACGGACGGAGAGTCCCGTTCTTGCATGTCTCCCTAGAACGAGTTGACATTACGCAAGGGTCAACTTTCTCCCCTGCTTTGCATAATTACGTGCTTGGGTGCCATGCAGTTGCGTAGAATGCACACGGCCCGGCGCCTGGTTTTGTGCGTTGTTCTCTCTTTTTCTCTGCTTGTTTTCCCCCCGCCTCCAGCTAAAGGCGGTCCTTTTTTGCCGCAGCTATTCATAGCCTGAAGCTGAGTCGCAACCACGTGGACTGGCACAGTGTGGACGAAGTGTATCTTTACAGTGATGCAACAACCTCAAAAATTGCGAGAACTGTAAGTCAGAAGCTGGGGTTTTCCAAAGGTAAGTTCATTTGAGGTTTCCTTTCTGTGAAAAAAGGTCCTATCCATGTATGATTTGACAGCTGGGATAACCAGTATTTCCATGGCATTCAGCTCCAGGAGCTGTTAAAATGAACCTGGCCCTCAGATCTAAAACGGGCAGCAGCCGTTAACGTTTTTAGGAAATCTCCCTGTGCCGTCGGCACTGCCAGGCCTCTGCTCAGCTGGCGGTAACTGCCTGGCCGAGCGCAGGAGGGCCGTCAGCGTGGCGTCTTCTCTGCTTAGCAGCAGGCAGATCTGGGGGCTCCATAAGAGCCTTAACTTGCAGGGACGGGGACTAAATTGAGTTGGCAGGGTGCCCAGCCGGCCTCCCCCGACCAAACGATGTTACGCTGTGCCCGGCCCGCCAGGGCCTTTTGCCAGGCATCTCTGTTAAGAGGAGGACACCGGAACGCCACCACGTGCGCCAGTGATGGCGGGAGGAACGCTGCAGCTCAGCTGGGGATGCTTTGTGGGACGGGCTGCACAGGCAAGCCCCTGCCTGTGTCTGTGGACAAGGAGAGCGGTCGATTTTCCTCTGCAGGGTGGAAAGACACGCCCTGCCCCTTGCAGGGATCCACGAAGTTTCCACAGGCCAGACGAGGAAGCCCCAGCCCTGGGCTTTCCTTCCATTTGGGGATATCCGGGCGAGGCGGTGTGGTCTCATGGTTAGAGTGCTGTGCGGCAACTTGGGGGATCTGGGCTTTAGTTCTCACTCAGCTGTAAAGCTCACTGGGTGACTCTGGGCCAGTCGCAGGTGGTCAGCCTGGCCTACCTCACAGGGCTGCAGTTGAGCAGATAGAACGGGCGGAACCCTGCAGGCTGCCTGGGGTTCCTTGGAAAGGAAGGAAGGTGGGGTGTAAATGTAATGTTGCCACAGTCGCAGCAATTCGTCTGACTGTGCAGTCTTTGCACTCTGCCTTTTGGTTATCACGCTGCTCACCAGGAATTCTCCAATTAAGCCCCTTTCCCATTTTGTCTAAACCAAGGTACTATGGTTATCAGCTTTGGAACAAGCCAGGTTCTTAAACTTGGCTTGTTCACAGGCAGCCAGTGAATTGCTTTGAGGCACAGCGTAAACTCCCAGCATGCAATTTACAAAGATTTTGCCCAGAAGAGACGTGGCAACTGCCATTGGCGGTCAGGGATTGGTTGCTGCCAGTGACAGATGACTATCCTGCTTGCACGTGGGAAAGGGCTCAGAAAAAGAGTGGGAGAATTTGGCTCGTTCGTAATTGGGGGCTTGGTGGCCTGGTGCTGCCTGGGAGTGTTTCCCCTTCGAGTTCATGTAACGAGCTCCTATTAAAATTCAACCTTGCTCTGGTTGCAAGTCTCCTTGCAACATGTATATTGTTGGGTCTCTCTCACATCGAGGCCTGAAGATGCGGAGCGGGAACGAAAACAGAAGTGAACCTGATGTTTGCCTGGTCGCCTGGAGGATGCTTTTGCTCCCCACAGGCAGCGAGGGGCCTGGACTAACTGTTGCCGATTGCTCCTCTGCAGCTTCCAGCAGCGGGACAAGGCTCCACAGAGGCTATGTGGAAGAAGCCACGCTGGAGGACAAGCCGTCGCCAACCACGCACATCGTGTTTGTGGTTCACGGCATCGGGCAGAAAATGGACCAGGGCAGGATCATCAGGAACACTGCCATGTAAGTCCTCTCCTTCCCGCTGCGGAGCTGGCAGGGAGCAGAAGAGGCTTCTGAAGTGAGGCTGCGCAGATGCGGTGCGCCCCTCTTCCCTGTCGTTTAACATGGCTAGCATGGATGGGAAAGTACAGTGGAGTAGGAGCCCCGCAGGGAATCACCGGTCGTGGCGTAGCTGGGACTCGCCCGTGCAGGTAGCAAGAAGGATGCTCTGCGTCTCCAGCCCGCAAGGCAGTGCCTGGCCGAGAATCAGTGGCGGCCTCCACACTGCGGCCGCTTCGCACACACCCTGAGCGACCTTCGGGGTTTCTCCCACCACTAGAACTTGCGTGGCAGCATTTGATGGCCTTGTAAACCGTGGATACGGAGCTGTGTGCATTAGCATGTGCCCGCCCCCCCCCCCGCAACCCATAATAATCTTTGGAAGACACCGCAATGCCTCAAACACAGTTTAATATTATTAATAATAATGAGGGTAATATTTCTATACCAGCCGATAGCTGAAGCTCTCTGGGCAGTTCACCACAGCAGACTGGCATGTTAGGACTGCTACCTCATTTGGGACCATTGGCTGCGGTTTTATAAATCAAATAAGAAATAATTTATGTCTTGTAATGTGGAAATTACAATATACCCTGTGCTATATGTTGACCTTGTATATTGTTGCAATAAAGGAAGAACAATCTTGGTATACCAAGAACCGTCAAACTTCATGATAAGGGGTTAGCTTTTCAATGTAACGTGCTTTATAACCATTTTTTTTAGGTTGCGGGAAACTGCAAGGAAAATAGAAGACAAATACTTTTGCAACCTTGCAACGCATGTTGAGTTCTTGCCAGTCGAATGGAGATCCAAACTTGCACTTGACGGAGGTACTTTTTTGCTCATTGACATATTTGGAAAACCGGTATGCTAATGATGATGTTTGGAAAAGAGTGTTGTTCATCTTGCTTCTAGCAATGACATATAAACTTTTTTTTTGAAGGGCCCCTTTCAATATTATTTACCAGGGAATCCCTAAGTATTGCAAATACCTTCCTGACATGTTCTGGGTGCTTGCTAAGCTCGTGTAGGGCACTGCTCAGGCCTGGCAGTCCTCTCCATCCTATCAAACACCCCCTTTTAGCTGCATCTTGCAGGGGAGGATGGGGAGTGGCAGCAAGGTCTGCCAGGAAAGTTGCTTTGTTGTTCCTGATATTCTCCTGATAAATTTGAGGAGCCGCCAGCACTTTCTTTGGGGACAGTTTGGAAACTGCTCCGCTGCTGAAAGGCCTGGCGTCGAATGTGCTTTATCTTTAATCTCCGCACTTGAGAAGTTCCTTTAGTTACTGCATTTCATGTTCCTATGAATGCATATTCACATTATTCTATATGGTTGCCTTTAAACTCACTCTAAGCCGTATCACGCCGCAATCAAACACTTGGTCTCCTTTCTTTATCTTAGACACTGTTGACTCTATTACTCCAGATAAAGTCCGTGGTTTAAGGGACATGCTTAATAGCAGTGCAATGGACATAATGTATTACACAAGCCCCCTCTACAGAGACGAGGTACGTGCGAGCCTTTAACTGTTTTCTTTCCAGTACGGACTAATAATGCGTTCGGTTAAACTGGGTTTCTTAACATAAATGCACGCCTGTTTTTCCATCACCTTGAAGTATGATGAGGTCACTGAGGGACAAATGAAAGCACCGTCACTCCTACATTTACGGTAAATGACAAGGATGGACAGTTTGCCAGCCCCACAACAGGCAGACCTGAGAGGGCGGGGTCTGTGTCCCTTTGAATTCTGTTTTAAGCATGGCCCGGCCAAACGGCAGCCAATCATCGGATGGCTAGACCAGGGGACTGAGGAACATGGCTAAGAAAGACAAGCAGTACATTGTGGCTAAAATTGCCTCCCCCCAACTCTGGAAACTTTCAGATGTTTTGTGCTTCAGCCTCCATCCGCCATAGCAAGCATTAGAATGGTTAAAATGGCTGGGGGCTGTTGTCCAAAACTTCCGGGGGGGGGGGGGCATGTATTTTCGAGATGGAAGCAGTTTCCTCAGTTAACGGCGGCACCATTCTCCGCATGATGGTGTGGACTGAGCAGTGCGCATGGCGGTGGTTTCTTGGAGGAACCATTTCAGGCACTGCAGCTCCAACGGGATATTCTAGAGCTCAGAAAGGCGTAGAAAAGCGCCCCCAAAATGGTTGATGGGCTGGGAAAACGAACCCGCAAGGAATGGTTAAAGCAACGGGCTGGCGAGTGTTTTGCAGCCCTTCCCAGCCTGTTCGGCGCAGGCACAGCCACCGTCCTGCAGCCGCCGCGGAAAGATTGCAGCGTGCGGCGTCGCCTGCAAAGCGTGTGGGTGAGGAATTGGGCCAGGGAGCCGCTTGCAGGTCACGGGCTTCCTCCGCGAAGGAGCGGTCGGTGGTGGCGGCAGAGAAGTGCCACGCAGGAGGAGGGGCTGTTGTGCGACGGTGCAGTCGCTGCCGCGGCCCCCGGCTCCAGCTGTCCTTGGCAAGGGGATCCTCCCCCCCGCCCCCCCTCTGCATGCTTCTTGCCACAACAGAGCACTCCGCTCCCCGTGACACAAGACTGCAAGTTCGCACCGAACGGCCAAGTGGTGCTTGCTGCAGCCAGGCTGTTGACACAGGGAACTCGGGAGCCTGATATGCGGCGAAGGACTTGGCAGCGGGAGGCAGTGTGGTGTAGTGGTTAAGGGTGTGTGTCTGGGAGGCTGGCGGTGTGAATTTTAGTCCCCGCTCAGCCATGGAACCAACTGGGTGACTTTGGGCTGCTGACAGACTCTCAGCCCAGCCTACCTCACAAGGTGGTGGTTGTGGGGAGAAGATGGGAAGGGGGCGGGGATGGCGTCAGCCTCTTTGGGTTCTTAAGAGAAAGGTGGGATAGGAATCGAATGAATAGTTGATACCATTGTGCTCAGCACAAAAGGTGCTTGTTGGGCTGCAGGGAGCGCAGCTGGATTGGGTGCTGAGGGCCGGGCTCTTGTTCCCGCACGGCCTCTGGCACTTCCTGGGCTGCCCCTGGGCTGGCACAGGGCCCCTTTTGCGCTGAGCACAATGGTATCCCAGCGCATCCCACGCTGGACTTGTGGCAGGCAGCAGAGCATGGTTCTGCGTCACCCCGGGCTCTGTTTCTAGAGGATCCTGGCTGAGTGGCGCCAGCTCCCTCCCAGTTATCCAGCTCTCTCCCCCGAATTTGGTGTCTGTACTCTCAGCTGTCGCGGTATACTGCCACTAGCGGAATGGGCGTTTTGACAGCCACCCCTGTGAGAGGCCCCTGCAACCTCTGTGCCAACAAGGGCTTTTGTTGGGTGCATGAAGTGGGCGTGTGATATTCCGCTGGCCGTGCGCCTCCTGCCAGCCGGGTCACCTGAACAACCCGGGCAGCTTCCATGCCTTGCACGAGAACGCCACCCCCCCCCCCGGATGTATCCTTGGACGAGTGCTCAGGATGGCCGCTGCTTGTTGATTTTGAACAGCGTGGGATGTTCTGATGCCAGAATTGGATCGCAGTGTGAGAACCGGTCAGTGGATTCAAAAAGCCAGCTCATCGAAGAGTATCTTTTCAAACCTGTCCAAAGGCATTTCTCTCCCTCTTGCAGAAATACTTTTTCAGTAGCCTTAAATGCTGGGATTCTAAAGTTCATGGCCTTAGAAATGACGTCTCAGCAGTAAATGATTGAGAAATCTCACCCGGAAAGCAGGAGTCAGGCCAGATGTGGCCCGTGCTGAACTGCAGCATGCAAGCCATTTAAAAGTACTAGCTGGCACCAGATTTGGACTCCCAGGGAGGAAGGGGCTGCCTTTTTTTACTCCTTGTCCCTGATGAGAATTTTTTTGGCGGTAGGAGTGAGGTGAGAGATGCCCGAGGGCTCAATTCCTGTCAGCATCGCAGTGCAAAGCCCTGTGAGGCAGTTCAGCAGCGCAGTGCAAAGCCCTGTGAGGCAGTTCAGCAGCGCAGTGCAATTAAACCTTAGTAATAAGGATGCTCATTAGCGCACTCCCAGGAACAGAAATAAGCTACTGTATTTTGTTGTGTGGTTTCCTTCTCAAGGATTTGGCACTTAGAGGCGTAATTTTCTAGCCCGGTCGAAGAGGCACTTGTGGTGCTCCATTTGGGTGTGTTTAAAGATCGTGCCCCACCCTTCCTGTGAGGCCCGCCTCTGGAAACGGCTGTGTCGTCGAGCGTCTCTGGCTTTGAGGTCAGGGCTGGCGTTGCCAGTGAGCGGCTCAGTCACACTGACAGACCCGTTAGCTAAGCGTGTCGCCGTACGCAGCCCAGATCATGCTTGTGTTCTTCTTCCCCCTGTAAACAGCTGGTGAAAGGCCTTCAGCAGGAGATGAATCGTTTGTACACGCTCTTCTGTTCTCGGAATCCAGAGTTCACGGAAAAAGGTGGGAAAGCCTCCATCGTGTCCCATTCCTTAGGATGTGTCATCACGTACGATATCATGACCGGATGGAATCCAGTCAGGCTTTACGAACAGTTGCTTGAGAAGGAGTATGACGACCTTCAGGATACCTGGATGAGCTTTGAGGAGCAGAGTTTGCTAGAAGAATTTTATATAACCAAGCAGCGGTAAGGACTCCCCTTGCTGTTAGTGGGAGAGGTGTTGGCGTGTTGAAAATTGCTACTGAACGAATCCAGTCTCAGTGTTAACAACCAAATTAGTTTTCCACTCGCCTGGTTCCTATTTTACCTGGGCATCAGCAGAACAGCCATCGGGTGGTTCATTCTGAAGGACAATTTATCCTCTTTGCAGGGCTAGGGAAGCGTCGAGAAACACACACGCAAAGGCATTTTGCCCAGCAACCACATGAGGGCCAGATGCTCTGCTTCACCGTTTTCATGATTGAAATTCTCCCCCCCTTTTTCTGTGTTAGTTTTGCTGGAGCCAGGCTTGAGCAGCAGGAGAGCAGCCCCCACCCCCAAACAAATTCTCTGTACCTTGCATCTTTCCACACTGTTGGACTCGCCCTTCCCTTTCACAAAACCAAGCTGTGGAGAGAGTGAGACTGTATTCCAGTTTAAACGTTTACGAAGTCTGTTTCAAGAATACTTGTTCTGGTAGAGGCCGTCCACGGATAGGTACACAATAGACCTCTTAAGCAGAGCGGCTTAAGTGTTTCTAATCAAAGGAACTTGTGCAATTGTGCCTTTTTTCCTAGATTGAAGGAGATAGAAGAGAACTTGCATGGACTGAAGTCATCCACCATATCTAAGACACCTGCCTTAAAATTCAAGGTGCGAATGTGCAGGAAAAGTGCCTCTGGTACTGGCTCAGTCTTGGCAGGAAGGAGGCTTCAGCTCTTCTCCAGGTTCCACCTTGACAAACACCCCCAGCTCCCTCCCCTGGTAGGCTTCCCACGCAGAGGTCAGGCTTGGCGAAGAAGCAGCTCCTTTCAGAGAGAGTAAGGAAGAGCAGCCCCGCTGCACGAGAGCAAGTGGGAAGAAGCGTCAAGAAGCTGAGCGGTGGCCCCAGCTCCGAAGTCAGGCCGTCCGGGAGCCACGGGGAGGTCCGTGTGGCTGCCCTTGTGGCTCGTGAGGTCTCCTTCAGTGGAGGCGCTGAAGCTGCAGGGACCTCGAGGACTTGGCTCAAGGGTCTGGGGGGGAGTTAGGCCACGCCGCTGAGGCTGAGGCTGGGAAAAGAGCAGCCAGCAAGGCAGGCAGACGGGCAGCCAGGAAGCAGCCCTGCTCTGTGTTGGTCCTCCCCGGATTCCAGTCTTCCTCTTCATCCCACCCAGTTGCAGGTCGCGGGCGCCTTGGCAACCCCTGCATGGCAGGGCAGCCCTGGGCTAGAGCGGACCTGGAATAGCACACCGTCACGCGTTACCTCCGTCATCTCAGAGCTGGCTTTTCTGCTTCCTTGGTGGTTTCTGGGGTGCTTTCTTGGAATACAGTTGACCCGTTGGACTTCCCGGTCAGCCACGACCAGCAGATGGTCTGCTGTGGAAGTCCCCAAAGAGTCAGGGTTGTCTCCCCCCCCCCCCCCCCAGCACTTCTCACAGGACACTCCCGTGAGGTGGAATATCCTCAGATTGCAACCCTGCAGTTATTTTTGCGGTTTGTTGTCCTGCCCATGTTAGTTTCGTGTCACTGCTAAAAGATGTTCCAGGAGAACACAGGGTGACCCCGTGGCTTCCTTCACTGTAACGTGCCTCAAGGCAGTGAGGGCACAATTCCCTCCCCCCCAAAAAATATGCTCCAGTCTCTGCTAGAAAGCTGCCTTTTTCTCTGCCTGTTAATACCAAATGAAATGTCTCCTTAGGTTGAAAATTTCTTCTGTATGGGATCTCCATTAGCAGTGTTTTTGGCCTTGCGCGGCATCCGTCCAGGAAACAGTGGAAGTCAAGATCACATTCTGCCCAGAACTATTTGTAACCGGTTGCTAAACATTTTTCATCCAACAGATCCAGTGGTGAGTGTTAGTGCAGTAACAAGCTTTCATCTCGCAGAGGCGGCCCTACCATGAGGCAAGGTGAGGCGGCCCCCTCAGCTGGCGGATTTGGGGTGCCGTTAAAGGGTGGTCTCAGTGCAGAAGGCAGATCGGTGCCGGACGACGTCCCAGTGGGTCACACCCCACCCGGCCTTGTCCTTGTGGGAAGTAGGTGTGAGGCCATTCGGACGTCCTGCCTCAGGCCCAGAACGCTTTGCGATCAAGAACATCTCCGAATGGAAGCTGCCGAAGGACTGCCAGGGAGTCTGTGCGAAGGGTTCCCCCAGGGCGCCCCGCGGACGTGTGTTAGCGTGTCCTGACGTGACCGGCGCCTGTTTGGGCGAAGGCGGAGTAGTGTGCGCAAACTCACGGCACATCCCACAGCAGCTTCCTGGGATCGAGAGCAACTCGGAGGTTGGGTGAGCCGTTAGCTGCCCCCCTTCCAGGGGTCTCCAGGTGGGCTCTTGGCTTAAAGGGCTGCATTAGGGTGTGTTAACTGTGCTTTAAAATGGAGGCGTCTCGCGCACACACCATAGAGTTTATGTTCGCTGTAGACACAAGCCAAGCCTCTTACAAGTCCCTCCCTCAAACCTTCATTGATTGCGGGAAGCCTAACGGTCTTTGCATGTTACAACTGCGAGCTAAGGAAAAGGCCACGAAGCACAAGGCTGCAGCGGTCCTTTCCGAGCATCCAGCAGCCCAGAAACGTGTCCTGACACAGGAGACGCCGTCGACCACGTGGCCTTGTATAACTTGTAATGGCGAACCCTTTCACTGGAGCGGCGGAGGCGGGAAATGTTTCGTCGGTGTGAGATGGGGTGGCATAAGCGGAGCCGCTTGCTGGCTCGTTCCTCAGGGCGCCCGTCTGTTTTCTGACTTGCAGGCCTACAGACTAGAACCTCTAATCCTCAAGCACTATAGCAACATCTCTCCCGTCCAGATCCACTGGTACAACACGACAAACCCTCTACCTTACGAGCATATGAAGCCAAGTTTCCTCAACCCGGCAAAGGAATCTACCTCAGTCTCTGAGAGCGAGTCTCTTCCACCAGTTCCCAGCCCGGCAACGTCGCCTGTCATGGCCCGGCGGCACTATGGGGAGTCCATAACGAATATAGGCAAAGCAAGTATATTGGGTAACTATTACCAGAGCGTGGAAACCTTTCGCTGTGCGCGGCTCCTGCTTCCGAAGAGTGCCGTCCCCGCAGCCACGGGGCTGACAGGGCCACCCTGTGGGACACTGCGCTGCTCCTTGGAACAGGGGTGAGGGGGCTCGGACATGCGTCGCGTGCGCTTCACCTCGGGCTCCTCAGAGGAAGGGCAGAACAGGCGATTCCACAGCTGCAGGCTGTCCGGTTGCCTCTGGCAGGTTCTGTCTTCATCCTCCGAAAAGCTGCTTCTGCCCCCACACTTGGTCCTTCCAGGAGTGCGGGTAATTTTGGGCCCTTGGCTTTAAGGCCTTGCGGGGACCCTTTGGACAGCCATGCATGTTTTTGCAATGCACAGGGGTAGCCCTTCTCTCCTCCCTGCCCCCCACCAGCCTTTACTTTATTCATTAATGTATATCCCACTTTTTTACTCCGTTTCTATACTATTGGTAGATTAGAGGAAAACAAAACAGTGCATAAAAACAAAGATAGGTGTGGTGGTCCATAAGTTTAAAAAAACCCTAATATTTATAGTTTGGCCCAGATAAAAATGCTGCCTATCAGGCAGTCACAGGAGAGTGTGCCAGCTTTGCTGATCTCCATGACGGTTCATCAGGCTAGGAAGACCTATTGTTTGGCTTTTATGCCAGGTACCCTCCAGGAAGAGGTGGGGCGAGTGGTACAGTTTGTCAAGCCTGTTTGGACACTCTGAACTTGTTTAGTCTTTCATTTTAGAACTCCAGATACACTCAGGAATAAAATGGAGTTTGCTTCTGCTGCCTTCATCCTCAGTGCAGTGACTTGGAAACAAGCGTAACACCGCGGCAAAACAGGAGAACCCATTTTTCAATTCAAAATAATTAGAACAGGTTCCCACCTTGGTTACTACAGACCAGGAATTCAAATATCAAACCCTAAAATGCATAGGGGACCAAGTAGCCAGTTAATATGCCAGTGTTGCCATGTGGAGCAATGAATCTTTTATCACCGGATTAAGCTTTCCTCTTCTCAGAAACTCCAGCAGGTTGGGGGAGAGGCTCGAGTTCCGCAGCTGAGTGATTCCTCCATGCCCCCTCCAGTCTTCCTGTTTTGGGCGTAAGAAGTCCGCCCAACGTGACCCAGAAGGGTGGCGGGCGGGCGGCAAGATGCCAGGGCTCGAGCGCGGCGGAGAATGTGATGCCCCTCACAAGCAAGCAGTCCCTCCTCGTGTGGCGGGCAGGGCCTGCATGTGGCAGATCGCGGCATCCGCTCACGCAGCCACTCCAGCTCTTCTTCGTGTACCCATGTGCCACGCATGTCTTTAATATTCCCGCTATTATGTCCTAAGAGGTCCACCGAAAGAGCCTGGACATTTTCTGAAGCCTGACAGCTGTAATGTGTGGCTGGGACTCTTCCACGAGGGGGCAGCAGAGCCTGCGATCATGGCGGCTGCGCAGGTTTTTAATATGAGCAGTTGAGTTCGGGTTTCAGAGGGAGTTTTTCAGTCGGCAGTTAAAGTGTCCAGGGAGGCCAGGCTTCTGTGGGAATAGCGAAAGGCCTGGGAGAGGTTGGGAGAGGAAAATTCCGTGACTGTGCCCATATTTCGGTCAGTGGAAGCAAAAGAGGTCTGCGCACCGCGCAGTGACAAGTGTTGTGTTGTGCTCACTGAACACAGGAGCGGCCAGCATTGGAAAAGGTCTCGGAGGGATGCTCTTCTCGCGGTTTGGACGCTCCAGCACGCCCACCTCGCAGGCACTTGAGCCAGGAAAAGACGGGGCAGGGGCAGACGCAGAAGACAAGAAGGCGGCCCTGAGCCAGGCCTCCATCGGGAGCCAGCCCTTCCCTCACAGCAGCTCCGGCTTCCTAGACCCAACATGTAAGCAAGCAGCCGCCCTCTTCCCCAAAGTGCCCTCCATGTCGCCCGTCTTGGTTCCTCCTCCTGCTTCCCGCTGAAGCAGAGGCAGCCAAGGTGTTGGCCAGCAGCACACCGTCCACACGGTGGTTGAAACGGTTCTTGTGCATCCATAGCTCGGCCTCCCCAAATGGGGGCAGCTAAAATCAGAGCTTCCCCAGAGGTACCAGATGCTCCCCCCACACCCACCTCCCGGCCATTTTAAAGGGGTTTAAAGCTCGCCAGCCCGGAGGAGGAGTGGGGACTGCCCCCCTGAGGGAGGGCAGCGTTCTGGGCGTCGGGGAGAAGCCTGGGCCTTCCCTGAGCTCTCCTCCCTAGGGAAGCCTGTGTGGCCGAGGAGGCGTCTCATGGGGCCGAGATGCTGACTTGGCGTGCAGCTTGTCCGGCTGCTGGCTTTCCCCTTGCGGAATCCAGAGGGCCAGTGATCCGGCTTCATGCCCTGTCTTTGATGTGCCTGCACTTCCCCCCTTTTCCCCAGACGCCCGTGGCTTGAAGGCCGCTGCTGTCTACCCCCAGCAGAGTGCAGCTTTGGTGCAGCAGTGTGGCAGCAGGCCAGGCGCCTGCCAGCACCGCCTCCCAGCCCGCCTCGGCCCAGCCACCCTGGGCATCGCACCTGGCCAGACCCAGCGTGCGGGCTGCTCCGTTTCTCCTCCCGGATATGCTGCCGCCCCAGCTGTGCTCCCCCCCCCCGCCTCCTCAGCTGAGCTGTCAATGCAGGGAGCCACGGATGCCACTTCCAGCCCCCCTCCTACCACCTGTTGTATAGGCCGGGCAAGCAGGGAAGGGAGGGGGCTGGGTTTGCGCGGGAATGACTGGTTCTGGTAGGAATACGCCCGGTTCCCGTTCTTGTTTCCTGCCCAGCGGACCTGGAGCACAGGATCGACTTCGAGCTGAGAGAAGGTCTGGTGGAGAGCAGGTACTGGTCCGCCGTCACGTCGCACACCGCGTACTGGTCATCCATGGACATTGCGCTCTTCCTCCTCACCTTCATGTATAAGCAGGACCAAGAGGAGGAGGGCCAAAAGGCGCATTTTGACTCCGTTTGATTTTAGCTTGGGGGGGTGGGGGGTGGGAGAAGGGCTGAAACTTGACGAAACGGCACAACACGGCCAAGGTGCAGCATCTGTTTTAAGGCATGGTGGTTTCAGGTTCAAGTGCATGACTAGGACTTCCTCCATCCTTCCTCCCGAGATTACTCCGAGGCACATTCCCAGTTCCATGCTAACCGAGGCCTGGAGAAGGCTGCCCTCCGCTCCCGGTCCCGGCCCTCCGCATATCAGTGGTTGTCCAGCACCCGTGGCGGGTTGACATCTTTGCTGATGAATTGTAATTGTTCAACCAAGTTCATTGTTTTAAGAGCAAGGATTAGTCTGCTAAGAAGTCCATCTCCATTTAAGAAAAACAGCCTTGCTCTGTATACTTTGCATTGCTCCATAAGAAGCAACTGGCCGTCATTGTTCTCCTATGAAATTTGCAGTTCTTGATCCCATTCAAGTTCCCTTAGAATGGCAGGCACTCCAAGGGTGGGCTAACACAACTCCTCCAACTACTAAAACTGGCAAACAGGTATGAGGCGACTCTTTTGAAATACTGTCATTATAATTTATTATTACTTCCAACTAACTATTTTGTTTTACTTCTTTGTGTAAAAACCTTTACTTTTCTACTGTCTGTCTTTTTGTTTTTGGAGCAGGGGGCATAATTTAAAGAACCACATTTATTTTCTACAGTGTTAAGACTTTATTCCTCAGATGACATATCTTTGTACTCTTCCGATGGAGCTACGGACACTGTGCACACTTTTCAGTATTTTTTCATTAAAGATAACCTTTGTGGTATCACACAAACAAGGCTTGTTCAACTGTTTTTTCTCCAAGGGGAGCGAACTCTCCTGTCAGGATTGGGCTCTTGCTTTGGTTCTTGCGTGGTTGTTCATTCAGGAGCCCAAATTCACCTCATTTACGACTGTCGTTTAAACAGACCTGCCTTGGAATTCTCTGAGAACAAGGGCCAGAGGCTGAGTCTTGAATTTGCACTTTCTCAGAGGAGGCTCGCAGCAGGAGCACGCGGCCGTGGCCAGTTAACCCGTCAACCAGGACCCAAGGAAGAGGCAGCCACGCACACAGCCGTAGTTCGGCACGCGGCCTTTCACTTGGCCATTGCCGTGCACGGTGGTTTGTTTGTTTGTTAGTTAAAACAACTTCTATGCCGCCCCCTTCGCATAAGCCTCAGGGCGGCTTACAGTCATACATAAAAACAGCATATAAATACATAAAATAGTGGAAACAGCCTGGCAAGTTTAAAATCAATAAATAGCCTTAACAATTAAAATGACGTTTAAATAAAAAGGTCTTGGCCTGGCGCCGAAAAACAACGACGGCGCCAGGCGGACCTCTCTGGGGAGCGCATTCCAGAGATGGGGCGCCACAGCAGAGAAGGCCCTCCTCCGGGTGCTCACCCTCCTAATATCTTTCATGGAGGGTTCCCGGAGAAGGGCCTCTCCCACAGATCTCAAGGGGCGGGCGGGCAGATATGGATGCAAGCGCTCCTTCAGGTAACCAGGTCCCAAGCCATTTAGGGCTTTATAGGTCATAACCAGCACCTTGAATTGGGCCCGGACTTCAATGGGGAGCCAGTGAAGCTGACGGAGGACTGGAGTCATGTGAGCACAACGCCCCGCCCCCATCAGCAAGCTGGCAGCTCTATTTTGCGCCAATTGAAGTATCCGGACCGTCTTCAAGGGCAGCCCCACGTAGAGCGCGTTACAGAAGTCTAGGTGGGAAGTCACCAGCGCGTGTGTCACCGTCGCCAGGCAGTCGTACTCCAGGTAGGGGCGCAGCTGATGGATCAGCCGAAGCTGAAGGAAGGCGTTCTTCGCCACCGCTGTCACCTGATCTTCCAGTGAAAGCTCCGGGTCGAGGAGCACTCCCAGGCTGCGGACCTTGTCCCTAAGAGGGAGTGCAACCCCATTCAGGACTAGGTCAAATCCACCCTCTCCGAG